AGTTGACTATAGATGGTCGGCATGGTCAAGATTTTTTCACACGTAATCACGCGTGAAAATTGTTCACTTGTGTATACGTGTGAAGATTTTTCACGCGTAGCCACGCGTGTGATGTTGCAACAACACGGCCAAACTGTCGTGAAACTTGCTGTTTTTACCTACAAAATTTCGTGAAAGCCCAAGCTGACATTTCACGGTCCTTCACGCGTGGAAAATCGATAAAATTTCCCCATGGGTCATACGAATCATCATTAAATATTTCTTCACAATCATCATCATCATTATTATTCTGTAAAGAGCCATTGCCATCATTGTTACAGTCATCATTCTCAAAATATGTTTCAAAATCGGGAAGTAAAATGTCATCGAATGCTTTTATATTATTGGCTGCATTATCCGTAATTAAACGTACTAATTTTTTTTCAATATGATAATAATTAATTACTTTTCCAAACTCAGCCAATAAAACATCAGCTGTATGATGACCTTTTTGTGTGCAAATGATAATAAATATGATTTTAATTCGTCATCAACAAATGTGTGCAAGGTAATACCGATATAAGAACGTAATAGTCTATCAGTCCATACATTTAATGTGACTGATACATGTTCGGCATTATTGCATAATATCTTTAATTTCGTAACCATTTTATCATGTAATTTTGGAAGTTTATCACGAGTTAATTGTCAGCGGCTTAAAAGTGAGTACATTGGATCAACTACTTGCATAAAATTTTTAAAACCATTTTGATCTACCAATGATAACGGTACACCACATTCAATTATTAAATCTTTTACTATAGATTCAGTTAATTTAACTTGTCTTGGATCAGTTGATGAATATTTATTTGTTTTCTGTTTAATCATGTCATCAAGATTTCGTTGTTTTGCATCAGTGTTAACATTTTTCTTAGCTAACCATTCTTCATATATAGTTTCATGTTTGGTCTTCATATGTCGTGCAAAATTAGATGTGGTGCTATATTTATCGACAACATTTTGTGAACATACTGAACATTTACCATGCCATGAATTTGGTTTTTTTGCTTGAACATCAATAAAAACCTTTTTTACAATAGATTGCTTTAATTCGTTTATGTTATGTTGTGAAGTTGAAGAATTAAGTGTTGTTGATGAACTAGCAGAATTTGACATATGAAAATATACTGAATTTTAACAAATTTATATATTAATCAAAACGTTTTTTATTCAAAAATGTATTTTATGCAATCGATTATATTATAATGTTACAGAGAATATGATGTATGATGCAATGCAAAGCCTTCATCTACTTTATTGTATATGACGTGTCAATTTGACACAGCGGACGCAGTTGTAACTTCATTAACAATTTGGACTCAATATTGATAACGAAGTTCCAATGTCGTCCGCCCGTATAATTTTGACACAATATACACGCTTCAAAGATGAGTCGAAACAAAATAGAACGAGACAGAACAATGTATCCAGTCAGGACGAAAGTTACGAGTAAGTGAAAAATTTAATCTGATGAGTTGTGACTTTTTTATACGAGCAAATTAAATCTTTTTTAATGAATGACTCGAGTCAAACAGTCGAGTCAGTGTCACCCAATCTTCGAGTCCGAGTCGAGTCCGAGTCATTAAAAAAAGGGTGACTCGAGTTCGGACTCGCCCATCTCTGACATAAGACAAGAGCTACTTATATGTAGAAGAACAAAGCTCTTCAAACTGGCTAAAAAGAAAAATGTACTCACGCAAAAGAAAGCAAATATTAGCGTCGGAATATCTCGACAGAAACAGAAGCATATGACGATTGAATAAATGTGATCAGTAGTACAATATTATTAATGTATAGACAGACATGACGACTCAACCTAACCCGACCCACAGATCTAGTGATATATGTTGCCTACAGACATAATAACCCACCCAACCTGACCCGACCTAGAGATTTAGTGATATAACGGGTGCAACAGAAATAAACGCACTTTTTTATTTTCGCTGTAACTTCGTCGGGTTTCGGCCAATCAACTTAAATTTGTTTTTATTAAATTCGAATTGGAAATCTCTACAAAAATATCCGATAACTAGTTTTCTAACAAGAAAATTGTTAGAGTTGTGGAATCAAAAATAGGACGACTAAAAACGCCAACTTCATAAGGCAAAAAATGATTTTTTTTTGAACATTGATTCTTTGAGCTGCCTGTGTTGATGTCAAAAATTTTTGGCGTGCATTAGAAAGAGCATACTTTAAAGTAATAGTATCAAGCAGAATCGAAGCCCTCAATTCAGTTACAGTTTGAGAAAATGTCAGAGAAAGTATGAAAACTATGATTTATGAAGTTAGTGTTTTTAGTCACCCTCGCTTTTTGTTTTATAACTCTAACAGTTTTCATTTTAAAAAAATTGTTAAGAGATATTTTTGTAGAGGATTCCATGGCAAATCTTATAAAAAAACTTTTAAGTCGACCGCATATTATTCGACGAAGATATACCGAAAATAAAAAAGTGTGTTTATTGCTGTTACACCCGTTATGTCGTCTACAGATAGGACAACCCAACCTAATCCGACCCACACATATACACTTGTTGATCACTAGTAAGACAGTGCAAGACACATATGACAACTCAACCCAACCCGACCCAGAGATTTAATGATATATGTTGAGTACAGACATGATAACCCAACCTGATCCGACCCAGAGATGTAGAATTGTTGATCGCTAGCCAAACACAGCTAGATAGACATGACGACTCAACCTAACCCGCACGCTATAAGGGATGAGACGTTCTAGGAATTGATAAGTGCCTTGCTGTTGTCAAACTTCTTAAGGAGTCACTATTTGCCATCCTCTGTGTAGGAATATGCCTGGAAAGCATCTTGTTCCCCGGGAGGAAGTATTAACTAAAAAAGTTTGGAAAAGTTGGAAACTAAGAAAGAAGATTTAGGAAGTTCACGAGTAATCACGCGTTGGAACTTTTTTACACGTGAGAACTCGTGAGGATTGATTCGACAACTATGAGTATGAGATTTATTCAGTAGTTTCTCAGACAAGTTAGCTCAATAGTAGTATCGTAGATTTCTAATTCAAAGTACCCTGGTTCGACTCTTACTTTGCGGTGATATATATAAAATGTGCTATTATGTACAATATATATACAAAACCAATTTTCTTTTATCGAAACAAAAAATTTTATTTGGAGAAAGTCCAAAAAATGTGTAGAGGATGCACTATTTGGCTTACTACTACTAACTGTGAATCTTGTTTATTCGAGTGGAATAAACAAGGTTAGATCAAGACTTACTGTATAAGAACTGTAAAACAACAGAACGAAAAACAACATAACGAAAAACAGCTTAAAGCACCAGCCTTGACTTTTCATCTTGAAAAATATTCTTTATTCTAAATTTCCACATGAAAAGGTTTTTATAGCTTGCGTTCAAGAATTACAAGCATTTTCCTACAAGCCCTAAAATGGATCAACCAATACAAAGCGTTTTCTCTCAAAACAGATTTTTTCGTTTGGACGTTTTCGTGCGTTCCAGATTTATCAACCACTTTAAACGCCAGATAGTTCGGCTTGGTGTCAAAACGAAGGAAAAAATCAGCTTTACAACTTAACAGATCCGAATTTTTCGATTTTTTTTTAATGTTTACAAAAAACCAACTGTTCTGGACGTACCACTCCTGATTTTTCCGGATTTTATCAAAGGAGCCTTCGAGAAACACAAATTAGGAAAAAATCGAAAAATCCGGATCTGTTAGGTTGTAGCCTCAGGTGTTGGCTACATTTTAAAACTAGCCCGAGATTCCTACGGTTTGAGGTGGAAAAGAAAATTGGGACGTACGGACATCTATATTTTGACCCTTAGTCTGGAGCTAACTCTTCGTAGACCTTCTTTCTTAATTATACAGTATCTACAATTATGAAACGTGCTGTTGATGGAAACAATATCGAGGGGTGTTCATTGCATCTAAAGAGAAATCGCACTTTTTAAGAGTATTCAGATTTTCTTTTCCTTCAGATAAAAGCCCAATCAGACAATTAGGAACCCGAATGTTTCACTTGAGAGGTTCGCATTATACATAACAATGATTGTGCTGTATGTATGTAGATTGGTGGATTGACAGGACGATAAGTACGTGAAATTTACACAGTTCTAGGGAAGACGCTTTCGTCTGATATTTTTTCGTAGTTTCATGAGCAATATGTAAAGTATTTTGATCGTGAGTGGTTACTGATTTACAGTTGTGACCAAGTTCAATTGTACATTTACATTTCGGTAAAGGAAAGTCAATCCATATCAATGTAAGAAAAAATAGTAATATTGATGAGAATAATTTGATTATACAAACAACATTAACTGATATATATGGGAAACTGGCTGATGTGGAAAGTGCTGAAGAAATATTCAAGAGAGTATTGAATAAACGTAATATTGTACCATTTGGTGCGATGATGAAGTGCTATAATGTGAATGAGCTTCCAGAGAGAACAATTGAATTATATAAAGAAATGACTAAAACGCAAATGGAACCCAATAATAGCATTTATACATTGCTATTTCAAGCATGTGGTGAATGTGCTCGTTTAGGTAAGGTTAGCGACTAGTAGATCAAAATTTTTACGCATAGTTAAATAAGCCTTGGTGTGTTTTGCTCATCTAATATCACGAATATGTGTTGTTCTTCGAAAGCAGTTACAGTCTGTTTACTTTGTTGGTGATAAGTGAGTTTTGTACAGCAGTATCTTTGGCATACTCAGAATTGTAAGTGTTAGCACCGTTATGTTCCCCGTTGACATTGTACACATTAAGTGCACATAATTCCTAGAGGCTTTAGCTATTTCACTAAAAATGTTTCAGAAACAGTGATATCTCTTTCCAACACTAACCGTTGTATCCGAATCATTGCTGTTCTCCCTATGTCTTACTGACTCTCTCGGAAGTTTTGGAGGTCACGCACATCTCTCACCTACACGTATTGCTATATGACGTGTATCGATCACAAAAATTTCTATATAATCAGAAATATTCATTAAGAGGCTGTCAGAGATATGTAGCAGACTTCTCGCTTTCTCTGAAAAATTTACAACACAATTGACAATTGTTACTTCTATCTGCCTATTTTGCACATGGCGGGGCAAAGAGTTATCGTAAACATCTTGTCCCTTAGATAATTTAATAACTTCAGTTGGTATTGATGCAAGATTGATATGATTCAATTTTAATTTTTCCATTTTTTTCGAACAAACCAATCCCAGTTATATTCAGTTATATCCGTAAGTTCTTCCTCCTTCTTTCATATTAACTAATACATAGTTTCTTCGTACATAACTGACTTCTAGTCGATTCGTGTGAATTAGGTAGCAAAATATAGAGAAGTGAACATAAGGCGGTTTTATATTTTATTGTCAATAAAAAGTTAAAGATTAAAGACATGCTTTTTTTCTTTATATTCAAATAGACATCTGTTATACTTCTCCTCCTTTCTTTCTTTATACTTTTTTATATTAAATCCAAAAGCAAATAAGATAGCAGAATGATGAGAGGAAGATATGAAAGAAAAATAATCAAGCTTGATTTGCGTCTGTAAGTCTTCTGATCGACTGTCAAAAATGTATTTATTTTTTTATTATTATTCTTTCGTAGTCAAGTATCATATAATAAAATGGTTATCTTTGAATCAATTCCTTTTTTGATTTCTCTTCGATGTAAAATAGATGTGTTGTTTTCTTTTCAAGATTGCTCGTGTGAGAAGCAATGTTCCTGTTATTCGTTTGTAAAACTATGTTGTCTGACAGTACCAACAGATGATAAATCAACAAACTTGCTAAAATAGGTACTTAATTTAATGAATATATCAGTTTAACATTGAAAATAATTTTCATGGCAATTGCATACTCCTATTTCTTTATTTTTTTCTACTGCTGTATCATCGGTACTTATTTTTAGTAATTTTAGATTTATATATTATTCAACTTAAAAGCTTTTCAAATGAATATCAACAATATATACAACTTATCTACCTTACCGGATAATGTTTCAACATTGAAAGGTGATGAGTTTTATAAATTTATACAATCAGTAGTAGGAGAACCATTACATGATATTCTTAAAATCCAATTGATTGATTCAACACAATCATTTTTGGATACAAAAGATATATTTGA